CCTCTCGGTCTGTGAGAACATTTCTGAGCTGTCCCATAACAATTCTCACTGTCTCTAACCTCTTACGTCACAAAAACACACCCCTTCTGGTCGTTTCTGACCAATGAAAAATCCCAAAAAGTGAACCGGGAAAGAGTCTTTAAAATGTCAATACTTCCTGGTCTACACGGAGAGACTCACAGACTCACGGAGTTACAGAGTTGGAGAGTTGTCAGACTTCTAGAGTTCTGGAGTTCTGATGGAGTGCTGTTGGAGTTCCTGACATGACAACAAAGCTCTTCCGAGTTCCATGGGATTATAACTTTTTCCACTGAGGTGAATGTGTGTCGAACAGAGCCTCGCCACTACTTCTGACGGGCTACAGCCATTCTAAGGAGACGCTGGACCGGTAGCGTTAACGGAACACCATATCTGCTGATTATCATCAGAAAGGTAATGGGTCAAGTTTCCTACCAAGCGTACCGAGGCGAGCTGGGCTTCTGATGGAGAGTGTCGGTTCTGGTGAACATTCAATTTCCCTCAAACCCCATCCTTTACTCCCTCTAAACTTCTTTCCATCTTTAAACTTTCCTATGAAGTAGAAATTCTCCCAGATATTTAGAAATGTCTGTGTAAAGTGCTTATTCACATCCGTGTGGGTAAAAGATCATAGTTGTACAGTTTTATAAATGTCTGTGGTGCAGCAACGGGAAAATCATGGCCGTATGATTTTTCCTGATTGATTGCTTGTTGTTATTTTCATAATTTGCCAAATTAATGTACATGTTTGATGTTAAATTTGATTCTGTAAATAAATGACCGCATTCATTTTGATGGGTCAAATCTAAATGACGTCTCACGTTTGCATTTCCTTAAATTCAATGCACGTTTTATTCAGTCCAGAAAAATGAGGAACCCGCGTTAAATGATGAATATATCCCAGCATCTGTTCATCTACACCATTGATAATAGTGTGAATGTTTATGAATCATTCACAGTACTGTGATCCATTTTTCTTCCGTTAAATTTTCAGCATTTTTCACGTCTCGCAGTTTTCAAGCTATTTCAACAAATCATGAATCAAAAATGTTCAGCCCGTTCAAGACTTTGGTATTTGTGCAACTTTAGCTTTTTGAAATATTTAGCCTTTTTTTTCCCACTTTTTTCTCCCTTGTAGAAAATGAATAGAGCACATTTTACATCCTTCAAAACTTTAGATCTGTTTACAACCTTTTACTACTCCTTTCACATTTTATTCTGGTTCAACTTCCTTGTGCAAATTTTTCAGCTACTTTCAGTTAATTTCAGCAGTTTTTTCAGCTGTTTTGTGCTCCTTTTAGGTTCTTTCTGCGAACTACATTTTTGTACTTCTACTTCTTTCTGCTAATTTCAGCTTGTTATGCTCCTTTCAGCTTATTTCTGCAAGTTTCAGTTTTTTCTACTATTTCAAATACTATTTAGCGGTTTTTATGCTAATTTAGCTTTTTCAGCTAATTCCACGTTTTGCACTCATTGTGCTCTCTCCACTTCCTTCTGGTAATTTAAACTTCTTTCTCCTTTTTTAGCTACTTTTCAGCTGTTTTTTGCTACGTTCAGCTTTTTTTCAGATAATTTTCACTTATTTGTGCTCATCCCTGCTTCCTTCAGCCTAATTGGGAAAACGTGTTCCTTATGCTTTTTTCTTCTAATTTAAGCTTGTTTAACATTTTCAGATACATTGTTAGCAATTTAGCTAATTTCAGCTGTTTTCAGATTAATTCAAGTTTTTCATGGTAATGTCTGCAACTTTCAGACCAACTTCTCTCTGATAATTTTAGCTTGTTATGCTCCTTTCAGCTTTTTTCTGATAGTTTCAGCTTTTTCAGCCATTTCAGATAGTATTTAGCTGTTTATGTTAATTTTAGCTTATTCAGCTAATTCCTTTTTTTAAAGCTTATTTCAGCTCTTTCAGCTTCCTTCTGGTAGCTTAGACTACTTTTTTTTTGTTTTTATTAATTTCAGCTTTTCTTTTTGCTAAGTTATTAATTTTTGTTTTCATTTCTGCTTATTTAAACCTAACTCAGCAAAAAAAATGCATTTGTTCTACTTTGTTCTGCTAATTTAGGCTTGTTCTTTCATTTCAGCATGTATCTTTTTAGCTAATTTCAGCTGTCTTTCTGCACGTTCTTCTGCAAAAAGGATTCACACAGATTTTTTGCAGGAAATGCAATTAGTTACAAGAGCTGTGACAAACTCCCAATGAAAATGAAACGAACCACGGATACGACGCAGTTTCCAGTGGACTGTGCAGACTTAGGGAAAGACAGCGATGACTAACACAACGTTACGTTCACAAATTCATTCATGCTGAAATGCTGATTTCTGCCAGCCTTCTAAAAATATCTTGTTGTATGCGTAGGAGGGGTGGGGGGTGGTGACGTACGTGTCGTAGCCACAGGGGAGACTGACACCTCGTCACATGTTGCCACGACAAGTATCCCTGAGCCTGACCCGGGGGATAGTGAGCTCTTTGATAACACTGACACGTGCCACAGCTTCCGTTTTTCAAAGCTGTGACTCTGCGGCGCTGTGGAGGGTGAGCCAGCTGTCTGTGGCTTTGGCCCCCCACTCACAGGTCCACACTGTCATTCCCCACTGGATGCATTCACAATCTGCAACTTTGTGAAATACTCAGGCAGGGGGTGGGCTTTCAGAAATCAATTTAAGAGGCATCAGCTATAATTTGGGGATGCAGTGGCATCAGGGATTTATCAGCTCTGCTCCACCATCAGCAGCAGGTGCCTAAACATTTTGTACAGCAAAAATTGCAGATTATTCTAAAAAAAAGTGACGACAAACACGGATGGTAATTTGATTTAATTGAGTAATTAGGTGTAACTGGGTGATTTGTGTAATCAGCGCTGCTGTGTTGCAGATGCGAGTAATTCCACGGCACCATTTATTCAACATGCGCCTTACCTAATGAATCGGTTAAAAAGCAGCGTGGTGTTGCGGATGATTCGTGCGGCTCGAGACTCTTCGTGTTGACAGCGCTGGAGGGTAAGTCCGTCGTCCATGTGACCCTCAGAATGAAGGCACGCCTTGAGGATGGGACAATTAAACAGAGGAAATATGGAGGAAAAGGACAAACAAAAAATGGAGATTTCTGCACATACGTTCTAAAGTTTTCCTAAATGGTTCATTGTTTCTGTTTTGCGACTGATTTTTTTTGCGCGTGTCAGAACTCACTCTTCTTTTGAGTGGACCCAGTCGTGAAGATTTGACATCAGGTGCCTGGTAGGAGAGCCATAGACTTGTGGCCACATGCATGATGAAGCAGAGAGAGTCCCCGTATTTAATCTCTGCCACCCCCATTCCCTCAATGTCCCGCTTGGGGCTCTGCTCCAGCTTCTCCTGCACAGAAGAGAATGAAGAAAAGCTGTCATGTGAAACACGTGAGAACGCTTGAGAACTATCACACATACGCAAATTTATTCTTAATTAAACTTCCAACCAAATAATGAGACTGTTGGTCTTGCTTGTGTGATCCCATTTTAGACCCCAAAAATAAATACAAAAATATAATAAAAAGCTACTGTAACTGATTAATTTATCATAAATAAAAAATTTAATCCACTTTTTAGGAGCCACTAATTTGCTCACAATCAGAAGTCGTATAGAAACGCCATTACTCTGAGCACAACTAAAGAGTCAGTTCAGTTGCAGCTGCCGAGTTCAAGTAAATTAACCTCTACAGCGTCGTTTTTACTGGCTCGGTAACTCTCATCATTTTTACAGTGCTTGAAAAAAAAAAGGTGCTTTTCCAGTCTGGTGACTGTGAATGTTTCTTTTGTAGAGGTTTAGTGATCAGCTTTCTGATTCAATGAGAAACATCATTAAACACAGATCATACCAATGATTTTAAAGCAGTACTACAAATCTTTTGAAGTGGGATTCTGCGGAAAAGTTATTAACAAATAATGTTTCAGCAGTCGTAAAGCTCTCTTTGAAGGACCACGGTTCTGATTGAATTGATAAGCAGCTAGTCCTGGCATCGCCAAAATCAAACTGGATTGTTTCTGTCATAAACAACAAAAGTTTTGTGGTTCATGAAAACATAGTTTGCACCACCCGATGTGAAAAGATTTTAACTATCCCTTTAGGAATATTTATTTATGCAAGCTAGTGTTTTCTGGTCTTCTTGCCTTGGATGCTCTAAAGCAGAAGGCTGTGGAAACAGTGTCAGACCTCTCCCGGTCCTGCAGCACCAGACCCTTGTCCTCAGTCAAGGCCAGGTAGTGACCGGTGGTCAGGTGTCGCAGTCGAAAGGGTTGACCCCAACGAATGTGACTCCCACTCCAGCTGCCAAGTTTTAAAAAAAAATAACAAAATCAAATAATCAATAAAGAAAAAGCATTTTATATTATTTCAACTAATTTGCTAGTTTAACCATTGGATGTGGTTGAATCAACAATGCAAATGTCTGATTACATAATTATGTACTTTCAATGAAAAACATAAAAATAATTAAAAATACAGGTTGACAGACAGGATGGAAGATGAGCGATAACAGCCCACCTGATTCGAAGTGGCTCCAGCCTCCACAAGGACCTCGCCTTGGCACCAGCTTTACCCGTCTCATAGTTGACTATCCTGAAGAAGCCAAAGAAACACGAGTGTTTGGTCTGTCTGTGGACGTGTTTACTGTCTGGCTGCCACTCACACCACCAAGGTCCTTTAACCTAACTCAGAAGAATACCAGCTTTCATTTATCAGATTGCTTTCATGAGCTGTTTGACTCAGACACACATGGGCTGTATTCAGCCTTCTGACAGTGACATGCGTGCCCCAATAACCCACAGCTGCACTGTCTGTCAGAGATAAGGGTGACTGGGTCTCATGATAAAAGAAAACACTCTTCCCTCTATGGTGTCAGCTTATGTTTGATCTGTCCCAAAAAAAAAAAAGAAAGCTGGTTTTGCTCAGTTTCAAGGACAATGCGTGGAGAAAAGCCACAGCCTAAAATGAATTATCTAAACCCACCCCCATGTTTGCCATGCACTGTGCTAAAAATAGTCTGCGTGTCCGTGTGTCCAAAAGGAAGAGCCATTTCTCCTGGCACCTTGTTGAGTGGGTCTAGTCCAGTGTGTGAATTTATGCCCCACTTCAAGCTCTGTTTGTCTTTTTTCATTGACCCTATCTATTTCTGTTTAGCTGCACTGGAGCTAACAATAAACCCAGTTTTTGCTCCCTGAAGAATCAAATGTCACACCGGTCAGAGAGCGTCTCATAAAGGCACATTCAGAACTGAATTCAAAATCTTACTTCAAAGCCCTCAACAACCTAGCTCCATCTTATATTGGAGATTTTATTGTCCCATATTTTCCCAACAGAGCACTTCGCTCTCAGACTGCAGGTTTACTTGTGGTTCCTAGAGTTTCCAAAAGCAGAATGGGAGGAAGATCTTCCAGTTATCAGGCTCCTCTCTTGTGGAACCAACTTCCAGTTTCTGTCCGTGAGGCTGACACATTGTCCAGTTTTAAGACTGAACTTAAGACTTTCCTTTTTGATAAATCCTATAGCTAGGGTTGGCTTGTCATGCTGCTATAGACTTAGACTACTGGAGGACAAATTGACTTAATTTACTTAAATGAACTGTTAAAATTGAATAGTTTTCATTTGATACTATTTCTTTATTAACATGTGATTCTCGACCTGCCATTGTGTATCTGTTCCTCCTTCCTGTTCCTCTCAAACCCAGCCGGTCGAAGCAGATGGCCGCTTGCCCTGAGCCTGGTTCTGCTAAAGGTTTCTTCTGCATGAGGGAGTTTTTCCTTTCCACTGTCACCTTCATGCTTGCTCAAAATGAGAAACAGTCTGCTCCTCAGATAAATAATGTTATTAACTTACGTTTATATATATGAATGTTTCTGTTCAGTGCCCTGAGATGACTTCTATTGTGACTTTCTGCTATATAAATACACTGAGGTGATTTGAATTGAATTGAAGGCAACAGTTAGCTCAGCCCAGCATGCTCCTACATGTTCTGTGCTGTTACCTTTGCTGCTCTTCACTCTGATCTGATCCCGGGATGCTCACCACCTCATCGTGACCATGAAAGAGCCGCATCACATGACCACCTAACAGGTAACCTATTGGAAGACAGACAATGCAATATTTGAAGAAAATGGTTGTTATTTTTTCCCTCCTATTTTGTTTCTGCTCAAAAATGAACACTAGAATGATGAATAAGCTTTAGGCAAACACCAACTGTTCTAACATGTCATCCAATATGTCATCTAGCAGATACTTTGTTTAAAACCAGGTGCTAAAACATGTAAAATAAGAATTTTGAAGCAACTGAGCTCTAAGTTAACAAATAATGAGAAGTACTGCTTTGCCTAAAACTTGTTCGTCTGGCAGCTTATTTATTCTGAGACTTCTTGGATTAATTAAAAGTCTCTACCTTCTTCTATGTTGCTACCAGAGCAGATGGGATGGACGTTCCACAGAGTCTGCATAAATGAAGCATCCACCTGGATGTTGCCATTGGAGATGGATAAGTGCTGCAAAAAAGTGACAAGTATTGCTCATTTGCTTGTGCACAACAATACAAGAGACAACGCTTTCAGTTATCATGACAGTGCTTTTGAATCGCAAAATCAAATCAAAGTTATATACAGTTTTTACATTTCCGAGAAATGGAAGATTGTACATGACAATTCATTTATCCTGATAAAAGATGGACTAATCTGAAGTTAAATAATCATTCATCCTTAAAACAAACTCATAAAATTGTTTCAAGTATATTGAGATATTTGCCACACGAGGGGAAGTAACGCCATAAATGTTTGTGCACTGGCGTGTTTAGCACAGTACAGAGTTCATGCATCCAAAAACCACATTTTGTGGCAGCTGTGTCCTGATCAGCCCTGCTCCCCAGACTCTCTGCAGCCTTTAGGTGCTGCATGTCCCCATAAACCACCATATGAGTGACAGCTGGGACAGACTACCAGATTGATGTTGATGACTGTAAGGCGACAGAGGTCATCTGTCCATGCTCTGCTTGAATGGACGGGGTGAGGGGCAAATGTTGCCTGGCTGCTGTCACTGACTCCATGAATCACAGGGAACATGTCTCAGAGAACACATAACATGGAGTTATGATACTAAGCTGTTAATAGAGCTTAGAAAGTGTCTTCCTCTTCTTTTTCTTCTTTTGGCTTTTCCCTCTTCATGGGTCTCCACAGCAAGTCATCCTCCTCTATCTCACACTGTCCTCTTCATCCTTTGTCCTCACTCCAACTACCTCCATGTCCTCTCTAACTGCATCCATACATCTCTTATTTGTCTTTTTCCTGGCAGCTGCATTTCTAACATCCTTCTACCAATATACCCACTGTCCCTCCTCTGGACATGTCCAAACCACCTCAGTCTGACCTCTCTAACTTTATCTCCCAGTTGTTCAACCTGTGTTGTACCTCTGATGATCTCATTCCTAATCTTATCCATCCTTGTCACTCCTGACGAGAACCTCAGCATCTTAATTTCTGCCACTTCCAGTTCTTTCTCCTGTCTTTTTGTCAATGCCACTGTCTCTGGATCATACAACATAGCTGGTCTCACCAATGTCTTGAATGCTTTTTGCTTAAAGGGTCAGTTTAAAAGTGCATTAATGACACAATATGTATCTGCTGGAGAAGAAAGAAGAGGCTAACTTAAATGAAACTGAGAGCAGCCTAAGAAAACTACAATCCTCCAAACCAGATAATGTCAAGTGTAGATCAATGTTACTGTAATATATCTGTAAGCTGTATTGCTTTTTATTCTCAAACCCTTGATGGGAAAATATTACAGATGTTGCAGTGCATATCAGAAATTCTCTCGTTTTGGTTGCCAGAGTCAATATTTTCCTAAAAATGTTCCGACAGTATGCAGATAGTAAGCTGTAAACTTACAAGGTATCTTTCAGAGGACACACTGACGAGGATGAGGTCATCACCAATGCGTACTTTTTCTCCCTCTGATCTCTGTTTGGACGCAGGATGGATTGTCCACCAACAGGCTTCACCTTTAATAATAAGCGCAAACTTAGACGTGCAAATGTTTCAATCTGAGTGCATGAATTTGTTGAATGTTCAATAATGACACTCAGTCTGACATATTTGTTTTTAAGAAACACAATATTCTGCTCTGAATAATGCTAACAAGAGGGAAAACATGTGGCTCAAGTATCAGGATACCACAATAAAACTAACAAATGTGGAGCCCAGTTGGAATCACTGATCACAGTAGGGTGCATTGTGTTTCTACAGTGCTTCAGAGGGAATATTAATCGAGATGCCGAAAGGAAACGTGGTGAAATTCAGTCATGAGCAAATAAAGTACAGACAGAAAGATAAAACGGGAAACAACGGAAAAGCAGAGTGATTGTTTGAGTTAAACGAACCAGAGAGAGGGTGGAAAGGAGTGGAAATACAAAATAAAAAAGACAAGGACAAAAGGAAACAGCTGCAAAGCCTTCCTTTTACCTGTTGAATCCTCCTGCAGGCCGACATCAAACGATAGCTTATCTGTCTGTGACCTTGATGTCTTCAAACAGGCCAAGTACTGTGGTCAGCACACACACATCGAGCCACAAAACATAAAAGCCGTCATACAAATTATCCTGCTCGCTAATACATCAGAAACTGATACTAAAGTTTTAATCTTGGTGCACTGTAAATCCATTTTGATGTCTTTTTTAATGATAGATGTGTGTAATCTGTTACCATGTAGCTGAAGGAATGCCGCAGTAGGATGGCGTGCCCATACAGCAGAGTCTTGTGTCCACCGCTCTGGGCTGCCTGTACAGATAATACACACATATCCACTTGTCAGCATAATCTCCGCACAAAGCAGCCCCCAAACATGTTCCTCTAGCTGTTTCAATCTCCACTCAACCTTTGACCGCTGAATGTTGACCCCAGCAGAGCCCTGCTCGCCGTCAATGATGAACAGGGGGTACATGTCTCACGGGGACAGTATACCCCACCCTGTTGCACCAATGAATACATGCAATCTGACGTGCCACAAGAGGATGGTGTTACCAGGTCCTGTATCCGAAAGCAAACTGGATACGGGGTCATCTTTCCCGACTACGAGGATGTGGGAAGGATGCACAGCTAATGTTAATCTGCAAGGCAATGCCAACATTAGCAATAAATGCTAATGCTCCATTGTTTTGTTGGTGTGTTAGAAGATGGGAGCAGGGATAAATATATCTACTTGGAGAGATGCAAAAGGGATAGAGAAGAGCTATTCTTAACTTTTCCTTGGCAAGCAACCTCTACGTTACTCACCTTCCTTATGAACCTCTAGGAAGCGAGAAAGAGAAAAGTTCATTATTCAAAAAGAGCTGTTGTTTCTTGCCTTTTAGCTTTTGGTAAATATTTGGTGTTGAACAAAACACATGTAATATCAAACAGCAATAACCATATGTCTAAGTCACTGTTTGGTATGTATTTCACTAGGTGAATCCCAGCTCAGTGTAGGGTTGGTAGGAAAAAAACAATTATACTTTTTATATACCATATTTTCCACTGTACACGTCACTGGATCAGTCCAAAAATGTCTAATAAAGTGGAAAAAACAAATATGTTGCTTCACCGTATAAGTCAAGTCTATTATGCGTCACCGCTGACAACCCGAAAATATGGGCCGGTGTTGTGCCAAAAATCGATTGGCTGTCAAATGGCGGCTGCGGGAGCATGCTTGGGAGGACTTTAACAAGAATTTAACAAGATTAACACTTAAAAACAATATTTTGTTTGTTCGACATTATAGTAAAGGTGTGTCTCAGTTGAATTTTTCCTTAATAAATTCACTTTAATGGTCAAATCAGCTGCATTTTGCCTGGGCGGCGCAGCAAAATGCAGCTGATTTGATGTTTGCTCCAGGAGTTCTGGAGCGAGACGAAGGTGGCTTGGTATGGCAAGTCAATTGTTTCATTAATAGCCACTTTTACCTTTTAATGAGACACTTGGCTTGCCATATACGTCAAGGGCCCTCTAGTGGCTGAAAATGGTAGTGTTCAATATTTTCCATGTCAGAATGAATGAAATCGTCAGATCTCTGCCAAAAATTGGTTTATAAATATGGGGGGGAGCATAAATACATCGCTTTGCTGTATAAGTCACAGGCATGCTAATTTATGCAAAAAACTGTGACTTATATGCTGGAAAACATTGTATATATTCTTTATAACTTTCTCAGAAGCAAAAAAGCAGAGATCAAAATAAGTAAATATACACAAAACACCTTAGTGGGAGAGAGGGTCTAATGTAGCGGGTTATGCACAGCAGTGAAGGATTTGTCAACTTTTAAATTCTCTATAAGAATAAAAACTGAACCCTAAAGAATAAGCCATGTCAGGTAGAATGATGTCTCTTAGGAACTTAGAAAAAGGTTATTCTATAAAATAAAACAAAAAAAAAAACATGGAGGGTTTGCTTCAATAATTTGAACCAGACTTCTTGCAAAAAAAAAAAAAAAAAGCAGAGCAGAAGTGGATAACGTTTCCCAAATTGACGATTATAAAACAAAAATAATAAAATGTGAGACACTCAAACTCCACAGCTTTTCATACAGCTGCAGGCAGATGTTTGTTGTGTGTGCAGAATGCTGTGGCTGTTGACAAAATGCAGTTGAATAAAGTGCGCCTCTGGGAGCAGTGATCACCTACGACTGACATCTGTCATCAGTTCACTACCCGTCCAAGACGTCTGTACCAAACCATCATGATATGAAAATACACCTTTACACCGCCATCAAAAAGAACAGGGCGTGAAGGAAAATACTTTATTTGTTCTGATATACTTTCTCTGATAATGCCAAAAATATCATGCTAAATCAAAATATGTCAAAATAATCTCTAACTAGAGGAAAGCTAGGAAAAAATGGTGTATTTGCTCTAAATATACATATATGTTGTTGATTTTCACTACATCTTTGTCATTTATTAACTGTAAAACGTGGCCTTATATACTGTCTCAGTTTTGTTTCAGCTCATTCAGCCTCTGTTCCTTCTCCCTTCTTTATTTGTCCTGATTGGCCACAGGGACAATAGCCTGCCTGTGACTTGATGCAGTTTTGTTGCGCAGACTGCAGCATCGGCTTCCAGGCTGCTCGGTGCTATATGCTGGCCGAGGTACTGAGCTTAATGCGGCGAGGCACAGCAAGCTCCAATCACCCTTCACTAATAAACCCACTCACTTCCAACGCTAGCAGCATCAGTGAGAACAAGAATCTTATCAACATTCAAAGAAAAAAATTCAAGCACTTTAAATTTTAAAATCCCAAACAGCAGAGGCCTTTTGAAAACAATAAGGAATAGGAGCTGTTTTTTTGTGCAGCCTGCAGCAGTGACTGCAGAGCCACAGTGTTGTTTCTCTCAACAGAAATGCTAGTAGACCTCAGTGCTGTTCTGTAGCTCAGCAACTGTTTTATTTGTATTTATTGATTAGCACACCCCCCACCCGCAAATCAGGTCAGCTCTAAGTGAAACACTGTGTTAAATCGGAAGTGGCATTTACACTGTTCTTTATTTTTTTAAAGGTCTAAATCTTCCTGAACCACCTATTTGCTTCAGCCTCAGCCAATTGATCAGCCATCAATGCAAAGACGTATTGATTTCAAAACCTCCATCAAGACCAGTCAAACTCTATTTCTCCATTAATGGTGCTTCTTGTTGGGACATTTGAAAGGGGAACAACAGGTGGACAATATTGCAAATGTAAACGCATGGCAAGAACACAGAAAGAAAGTAGTCTTTCCATGCAATCTGAAGTATGGAAATCTTCTAAAATATTTGCTATTAAAACATACAAGGAAGGAAACTATAAAGTAGATGTGAAAGTGTAGGGAAAAAACAATATATTCAATTAATGAAACCAGCTATGATAACTAGAATATGAAAGAAGTTGTTTTATTCTGTTTAACTAAAACATTTACAGGACGATGTGCAAGAATGTTTTTTTTTTCCACATATGATTACACACAATAAAATATATGCTTTATATTAGAACGGGTCCATCGTTTTTGTTCAGGTATGCAAATAAGGTATCATTATATTATGTCATTTGCAAACGCTTTGGGGAACAAAATTTTAAACAAGTTTGAAATTGTAGTTTTGTTTTATTATTAAATACAGGTCACATAAAATAGAGAAAAACTGTGCAAATTCAAGTAAATAACATATTTCTGCATTAAGATATAAAAATGTTTGTCATATGGGACAGAAATCACTCAAATTAAATAGTCAGAGGTTTTGAAGTTGTTGCAGATCACAAATCCAATATTCTGTTGATAAAATGTATTAATTTGCATGAATGTTGTTTTTAAAAAAGTGTTATAAAACACCTACAGGTGAATTTATTCTGAGTAGTTTGAAAGAAGGCACATTTTGGGACAAAGGTAACCCAAAATGTCAAATTTAAAACACTTTAGCTCATTTTCAAAATATTATATATCATCCACACAAGTAGCTAAAACTAGCAAGAATCAGCGAAGCGGTTTTACAGCTGCATGGCTACTTTGGCAGCTTTATAACAAAGTTATTGGCTACATTTTCTCCACCAGACAAGCTAATTGAAGATTAAAACAGAAAACATCAAGCAGAATATAATAATAGTTTTAATCAAACTTAACAAGTTGATTCAGGGCTTTGAAAGAGCACACTGAAGAAATAAAACAAGAAGTCAGTGTGGTAAACAAGAATAAACTCTCAGACCTTCAGATTTAAAGAGATCCTTATAACAAGGGCTTATTTTGAGCCGGATCCTGCCGGAACAGGATCTGGGAACTATCTTATTTTGACAGGGTGTGTTCCGGTAACTGATTGGATTTGGTATCTTTCGGGCCTAATAATAAAGTTATGAACAAATTTGACTGCCTTGAATGATTAAAACCTATATTGGGTATGTAATCTGAAAATAATTACATAAACACTCATTTTAAACATAACAGCCACTTACGAGCTTCCTAATATCGCATGAGAGCTGTCCTTTCAAGTAAGCATTTCCACTTCTACACTAAAAAAATCTTGGCTCTAAAAGTACACTCATGGGCAATTTAATTAAAAACACAAAATATGATTAAACAGCGTAAATAAATTGCAAATCAGTTTTACAGTTTAAGATGGTCATTAATAAAATTTTGATTAGAAAATATACAAGAGGAATGCTTGATGGGTAATCACGTTACGTAGCTACACCACGTATCAAAACAACAACACCAGTTTGTAAAAACAACTGTGACCAAAATTTTGAAAAGACAGTCCAATTTACTTTCTTTTCTTTTTTTTATTCTTCTCATTGTACAACTATACAACCGAGAATTAAAGCACATGAAGGCAATGGAGATACTGAATCAGGTGCAAGGATGATTGAGAGAAGTAGAATGTGCTCTATTCACACAAGGAGAGCTGTTGGTCAGGTTACTTCTTGTTGCTCTCTAAAATAGTTATTGAATCATGTTTACAAATGTAGCTAAATAATGTTTAACAACCCGTTAAAATGCACCAGAATGCATGAAATGGCATCTACTTTATTAAAATATTTCTGGGGAAGACCCCATCACACACGTGCGTGTGTGTTCCGGAATTGTTTGGTTTACAAATTAAGCATTGCTTGTAACCATTACATAAGTGGTATTAAAGAGAGAATGGCGGAGGCAAAAAGGTAATTCTATGTGCTTATAGACACCAAACCTTTTGCTAATTTTCTTTGTTGTTGTCTTTTTAAGAACATTTGTGTCAGCTAATATATTTGCATCATCTCTTAGCATCCCAAACAACCACTCTGATTAGAGGGGGAAATAAATTGGGATAAATGAGCAATTATCCTGTGTGGTGGGTTAAGAAAATCAATTGGCTATGAATATATATATATATATATATATATATATATATATCAACTGAGAACAAGACAAGCTGCAAATCCACCACTGGAGTCATTCTCGCTCTCCTGGAGTGCAAATCTAGTTGAGGTGAGAACTAATAAATCAGAGAACCTTATTAGCAAGTTCATAAACACCCAATACCACAATCTCCTTACTCACTACCATTTTAAGTGATTTCTTATGTAAATACAATTTATTCAGTGATGACATGATGTGGAGAAACCACAGGAGATCAATGAGGAGAGAACAAATGAATAAAGAGTGTGCTGTAACTTATCATCTTGGATGCATAAGAAGTGAAAGGGTGATGGCACATATGGTGAACATACCCATCAATCCAGGTCAAGTGTATATTACACACACAATGAAGATTTATACACAGAAAACAGAAAGTAAACATGGAACCCATTTGTTATTGAAAGGTGAATGGAAACTTTCCTAAAAGACAATTACCGTATTTTTCGGATTATAAGGCGCATTAAGCGAAGCAAAACTATCAGATAAGTCAAACTTTATTCAACCCATTCACAACAACCACATTTTCTCTTCAAGCATTGGTTTTGAAAAGACCAAACAGTTCCCAAAACAATGAGGAGAAAAGCAGAAGAATGCCAGCATATCCTTCTTTACCAGAGCACTCATCAGTCAAGTATCCAACTTTAAGACTCCTCACATTAGACAGCTGCATTTATTACAAGTGTGTCTTTGGAGCATCCCAACAAAGTGGGTCGTAGATAACAAGAATGGAAGGACTCCTTTGTTCACAGGTTGACTTTGAATTTTCACATAAATCAAAACTGCTCACTGTATGAGATCGTTTTAAACCTACCACTTGTACAACACGACAACGTTGAGTTCAAATTTGAGTTGGATGTTACACTTGTCATGAACAAAATCTCTTAAAAGTTGGCAACAGTGAGCTGAAGAATGGGTTGTTTGAGCGTATGTTCGTTATTGTTGTTTCAGCACTCACCCCTTCGCTGTTTTGTCCACTTTTAGCAAGCATCTCCTGCAGGGCCCGGACAGACAGAGACTGCTCCAGTACAAAGGTACAGATGCACAGGTCCGGAGGCACGTACTGCAACAACAAGGTGGTCATGAGTTAAAACATCATACAGCTTAATATCATTAATCCTTAGGCCAGTGGTTCTGCAACTGTGGACTACTCCTGTTTTCAATTTATTTCAGTTTTATGCCTAAGAGTTGCAAGCAGAACTAAAGTTTAGACTGACTTGTTTTTGTGACAGACCAGACTCCATGCATGAATCCCAACTTATTCTTGATCCTAGGGCAGGAATAGAAGTAGTGAAAAGAGGAGAGTCTATCTCTTCAGCAGAGGAAAAGTTTGATGTCTGAAGGGAGTTGTCACTTTAAACCAGGGACAGTCAGAGCTATTATGGATCTGATGGGACGTTCAAAGTGTCATATCCACTTCCTCACAATGTGCGTCAGTGAATGTGGACAAAAAAATGCTTCAAATCAATAATGAGATGGGAAATAGCTTGCTGGCAGCACGGTGGCGCAACTGGTAGAGCTGCTGCCTCTCAGCGAGCAGGTCCTTGGTTCAAACCCCGGTCCAGAGGCCTTCTGGGTGGAGTTTGCATGTTCTCTCCGTGCATGCGTGGGTTTTCTCCGGGTACTCCGGTTTCCTCCCACAGACCAAAAACATGCATGTTAGGCTGATTGGTAACTCTAAATTGTCCCTAGGTGTGAGTGAGAGAATGAATAGTTGTTTGTCTCGTTTGTCTCCATGTGTCCCTGTGATGGACTTGCGACCCGTCCAGGGTGTACCCCGCCCCTCGCACAGTGATTGCTGGACATGGGCACCAGCGACCCCCGTGACCCAAAATGGAATAAGCGGGTAAAGATAATGGATGGATGGAAATAGCTTGCTGTCAAAAGTACAGGTTCACCTGTTTGTGTGTCTGAAAATTGAAAGTTTGAAAGCTGCTGTTTTAGTCTTTCATGTTTTACTGCAAATTGTCCAATTTTAGATTTCATGTTTATACGTTCTAGTCCAGGGGTCTGCAACCTTCTCAATCAGAAGAGCCATTTCTGACCGTTTACTTGGGCCTGTCATGATAACAAATTTTGCTGGACAATTAATTGTCTCAGACAATATTGCAATAAACAATAATATTGTTTGAAATTTGACAATAATTAGTAATTATTGTCAAATTTAAGAAGAAATGTTGTTTAATTTGTTTTGTGTGTAGTACCTTTTTTTGACCACCGGATGTCAGTCTAAGACTGTTTGAACCGAAGGATGGATACTGAGGGAGCGAGCAGTGTGTCTCTTTAAGAAAAAAGGGAGGGAGGAGCTTTGGAGATTTGATAAGATGGAGGTTTTTTCCTGAGGTTGGCCCGTTAGCTTAGCTTGTAGCTTAGCTTCTCAGCTTAGCTCCTTTTGATGATCCAAAAACAAAAGTGAGGGGTCAATGAAGAGCACCGGAGTTGAGCCGTGTCTTCAGTAGAAAGATGGAGAAGCGATAAAGCCGATAAATGAAAATGAGGTCGATAATTTTCATTTATCATGTGATTAATTGATCTATTGTTTATCGCGACAGGCCTACGTTTACTCACTAAATATATTGTGGCTGGAACCACAAACTTGCTCCAATTGATTATCAACTGGTGGTCCATGGGACACTTCAAGTTATTCGGAGGGAGGGTCCAGCCAAGAGGGGTGGCATTATAAAAATAAAAGTATAAGGAGTTTTAACATTTATTGATATTTTCCCATTTTAGGACAAAATATAAAACACATTTTAAATAATAAACAATATATAAATTAAAACACTGAATTCTGCAGGCCTAAATTAGTCCTATTTATTTGTGAAAATATTATTAGATGTAATAAAGCATCAGGTTAAAGAGAGTATAACATTTGGTCAGTTTGTTGGATATGTAATTGTGACTTTGAACCTTTTACATTATCGTATTTTTCAAACTATAAGGCGCACCGGATTATAAACGAAACAAAACAGTCAGATAAGTCTAACTTTATTCAGCTCATTCACAATAACCACATAAAATCGGTTCAAGGTCAATAATCACAACCAGAAATAATATATAAGGCGCACCGGATTATAAGGCTCGTTGTTGATTTTTGAGAAAATTTAAAGATTTAACGCGCGCCTTGTAGTCTGAAAAATACAGTAAATACAATTTTTTTTAATTTACTTTAATTCAATTTTTCTAATTCCGACTGTTAATACATTTGTTCTAAGCAGCCTGTCGTAAAGATATGCCAAAAGATCACACAGTTGGGCTGAATGTTGGATAAATGAAGTGACTCTATGTTTCACTTATTGTATTAATAGCATCATTCACACGTTTGCAGAAAAATGGAAGGAAAACTGCTAAACTATATTTTGTTGTGGGTTTAAAAACCAATATAATTCTATTTCATGCTAGTTTTGGTCAAAGCTTCAAAGAAAAGCTGAGGGACCAAAGAGCTGCATGTGGCTCTGCCGGTTGGAGACCACTCTTCTAGCATGTTGAAGAGTTTTTCTCCACTAACTTAAAACGCCAAAATATTATTAGTGTAGTTGTTTTAGTGGTATATTTCATGCCAAGCTAACTATTGGTGGTAGTTAAGCATCAGAGTAAAATCAATTATTTTAACTGAAGAGTCAACATTTTAAAACTTATCTTCAATGTGTCACAATGTTCCTTGCTGGTACAAAAAGTTACAGGTCATGAAGGAATCCCATCAGTAGCGCAGGGTGTTCTTAGGCGATATGAAAATAAAATACCAGATTTTGTTTTTAAATGCCACACAGAAACTTACCCTGCAAAAGAACCAACCCTACATTTACTCAGCTTTAATCAGAACATTACAACTACAGTATTTTTCATACTATAAGACACACTTAAAATCCTTTAATTTTCTCAAATATCACCAGTGAGCCTTATAATCCGGTGCGCCTTATGCATTAATTCTGGTTGTGCTTACTGACCTCGAACCGATTTTATATGGTCCGCAGCGCTCAAATATGTGTATTGTTTTGTATTTTATGCGTTACAACTGAACAATGTTGAGAGTTGTAGTGAACGAGTTGAATAAAGTTTGACTTATCTGAGTGTTTTGTTACTTATGTAAGAAAACAGACCCGTTCGTTGATATTGTGCCTTGTAATGCAGTGCGCCTTATAGTCCGAAAAATACGGTACTGTTCACGAACACTTCCAGTGATCTGGTGCTTCAGAAACTTCGTGGTGAAGAAGCAAAGCATCTTCGTAAGCCAAGAAAAGAAAGTTTGCTCCCTGGTGGGATGTAATGATTAGATTCCCACTCATAAAATCAATGCTGACTGCTGCATTTTACACAACTCAAACCAAATGAATCTCAATCGGTGGGCGATGACCGTTAAACAGTACTTTAAAGACATTAACATTAAGTTCTCTCAGGTCAGTCTGAGTTTTTGTAAAGTCTTGGAAAGAGCACAATTAGGAAAATTAAGAAGTTGCCAAATCGCCTTCTAAATCAGGGCAGAACCAGACGGGACGAGCAGTTCGCTGACAGAATGAGGAAGCAGTGAAGGGAATATTGTGGGCACAAGATAAATGATTTCAACCTGGAAGTTCTGGCTTCTTCTTCTTCTTTTAGCATCTAAACTTATTGCCTAAGTGGATCAGTCCAACAGGTGGACCTGACCTCATTTGAAAACTTCATAGTCCAGTTCTCTCTTGTTCAACATGGTTTCAGTGTGATACGGGTGGATTGTGCTGTGTGCAGAATAAACTTATGTCTCAGCTTAGATGGAGAATATGCTTTAAAGAGATGGTCTTTGTATAAAGGCGCATCTAAAAAAAAAATTATATATATGTGTGTGTGTGTGTGTGTGTGTATAAACTGAGTTTAAAGACAGCGTTGCCAGTCAGAAAATGATGTTGCCATTTAAACTTTTCACTGTTACATATGTTTGATGTTTTTTTCATGTCTCAACAAAGGTTGTGTTTCACCCATCTTTGTGTTTTATGCTAAGCTATGGAAGCTCTAAGCAGCAAAAAATGGCAGGAATAAACAAAATAAGAATATCTGAAAAATAAATAAATAATAACAACTGCGTCTTTGTCTTTGGGAAAACAGCTCGTCAGGAAATTTGTTTGTAATGTTTTGCATACGTAACAACTTTTCCTGACAATACTGTTGAATGTTGATATTTATATCTCAGAATAAACTTGGCATGCCTAAAGAAGAACAGTCATTTCATTCGCCATGTGTTGTCTTTGACATTTTGTGTAATTTGCTTTCTAATATCCAAAAAAAAGTTAAGTCAGGTTCTCTGGATGGGTTAAAAAAAAAAAAATGTAGAAACGTTTCGTCAGATTGAAAAAGTCTTTCAGATGGAGGACGAAACGTTTCTACAATTTTTTTGTTTTTGAACCCATCCAGAGGACCTGCCATAACTTTTTTGGATTTTTCTACCTGGATTATTGAGCATGCATCAAGATATGAGTTTCTAAAACTGCTTATTCCATTTTTTTATATGTTGTTGCTACTTGTGCTTTTGAATCCCTGTCATACTGATTTCCATTCCAGCGTATAATATATTTAGTTATCATCTGCCTCAGGAAATGTACAGTAGTTCCCTTTTTTGTCATTTTTTTAGATCCTTATTTGTCAGCTGCCATAGTCTTTGGGTGCTTAACCAATGATTTTGGGTTGATGGCCGTTTTCCTCTGGACTCGTACTGCATTGGGTCCTAAACCTCAACAAAACCCACCATTTGTGACAATTTCACATATTGTATATTTAGGCTAAATTAACCTTGTTTTCTAAAATGTCAACCTAGGAGAGTCTTGCCTTCTTTCTGATAAAGCATACCTTTTAGGTTGTTCTCTCCAATGGCAGAGCACATGATTTATGTTCAGTGACGGACGAACTGAAGCTGCTTGGATACAAGAATCTCTTCAGACAGAGATCCAAAGGAGTAAAACCTCAGGAGTCAATCCCTCCCTGGCTTAATTAAAGAGCAGGTTACAAAGGTAAAGAAATAATTTAAAACATACGTTGGTCATTGTTGGCACACTGTACATAAAAGAAAGAACGTTCCTGCTGTAACCGTATGTGGGCATCCCTCCAGTGGTCAAAATAAATCACAGTCATGCAGCTTTTCACAAGCTGATTCATGTTTCCATTTAAACAGTTTGCACTTTAAATCAACCTCACACTGCCATTTGGTTTCGTGCTCCATTACCGGACTAGTTTGCCAAGGAAAGGAGATATCCTATTGAGTCGTTCACCTCTATAACGACACTCTTGTTTTTTGGGCGGGGTTTTACATCTCTGTCATTGCTCCTAAAAGTGGAATGATGCCTTTCATAAAAACAGCAGGTTATGAAGACAAAGGGGCTGGCGGAGAAAATATCCATCACACCTGTCAGGTGTAATTACCATCCAATATGGAGCGAGAGCTTAACCTCCCTCGATATGCACAATTTAGGAGACCTGAAGGGGAGTGTGTACAAAAACACCAGCGGTTATTACTTGCACATAAATTCAAATTGCTTGCTTGAACTTGTTCCCTGGCCTTCTCATTTTGCTCAACTCTCCCTAAAATCTACCTCTGTGTCTCTTTAAGATTACACACACTGCATGTGCCAGCTTAATAATCTCAGTACTAATGGATCCTGATTAAAAGACAATCAGTGAGGAGGGAGCCTATAAATCGGGTGGCATCTGCAGCGTTGCATCAGAGAAGCATTACCGCCAGATGAGCAGCGGAACTGGAACGATCAGTGGAAAGTGGGAGCATTGATATTGTTCTTTCCAGCAGACGATAATCATTTGAATATTTCTACTTAATAAGTGGAGCACTTCACTGAAAATGTCCTCCACAATAAGAATTGTGCGCCTGAAGAAATGCATTAAGGTGGCAACCTGCTGGCTCCAAGTGGTAAACAATTCGATTTTTCTCATTAAAACTTTACACAAACTTGCAAAGGCATTTGCAAACAATTAACAGTTACAGCTAACAACAGCTCTGTTAATAAAACAATTCAATAAACCTTCCAGTGGGCGTAAATTATTTTAAGGGTTTTATCATCTGACAGCAGGCTGAGTCCTTTTAAGAGAAGCTCATCAAGGTGACGGCAGCGGATGTGAGCTGGTGTTTTTACTTTGATGAGGCAATGAAGCACCTCTGTGAGCTTTGCAGCTTTGCTGTTGTAATTGTTTACTGGAACCTAAACAAGAACAATATGTGCAGAATGTCTTGTATCTAAATAGATGCATTGCTTTTCTGCAGACTACTTCATGTGGTTGATTACATTTTATCTTCCCATGTGCATGAGAATAAAACCTGCAATGAGGACAAATTAAGTGAAATGAGATGTGCGATGTTGGCTTTTAACAAAGAAGCAGAGCAGGGCTGTCCAGGTTGAGTAAAACCCAGTCGGTACTGGAGTCAGCCGGCCTACCTTTGCCTCAGATGTGGGCTCCAGGTAACACAGGCGATTCCCCAACCCTTCGGCAGCCAGGCAGAACTTGCGATTCTCCTTCTGGATGCAGGCCACGCACTGGAGCACCACTTCATCATCCTGTCAAGACAGAAGGGACTTTAGTCGGTGCCTCGGTGAGAGCAGAGACAGAGTGTGTGCGCGTGGGTGTCAGATCCTGAGAGAAACCCAATTCACACAAAAAAACATGGCCATTTCAGGCCACCGATCAGGAAAGAGTGATGTTTGGCCTGTTGAGTCGAGTGTTTGTTTTCGCTACAGAGGTGGAAAAACAGCAGGACACAGAAGCAGGATGCAAATGATTCATCGATGACCTCTGAAACGCTGTGCAGGTACTGATGAGTTTGTATGTTTCTGGTGCTTTACAGAACAAACTGCCACCACAGACGCCAAGACTGACTGCTGAAAAAAAATATATATATATTAGGGATGCACCGATCCACTTTTTTTTTTTTTGCTTCTGATCCGATTCCAATACCTAAATCTGGATATCGACCGATACAGATCCAGTTCCGATATCATCATCATCATTGATTTTATGAGGCTGTAATAATCTCCTCTCAAGTGCAATTTGTACAAATATATGCATGCATGTCCAAGAAGGCATCTTGAGGTAAGTTTTATTAATGTTGGATAAGTTTTAAAGTTAGAATTAAATTCTGCTAACACAAAATGTTTTTTTTTTATTCCTAGATTTAAAGTGGATATTAAAGTGATTAATTTAAGTGATTGTTTAAAGTTATTTTATTTTATTTTTTTAAATAAGGGGCAGATATAAGAATGTTTTTCTTCTTTCTGCACTCTTTTCATTCAATGTTTTCATTTTGATTAATTTGTTTTGTTTATTTTGTATCTTTTAAATGAATGAATAAATGAATTAAATTAAATAAAATGTATAATATATGTATATATGTATATTATATATATAAATATATAAGTATATATACAGTACATGTATATATATATATACAAAGTATATATACATACACACACATACATACATACATACATACATACATACATACATACATACATACATA